GGTTGGTGATTTGTATAAAGTATAAAGAAACCTGTTTCTTTATTCTGTAGAAACTTTCTTGTCTTCTATGAAAATGTGTCCCAACCGTCAGATTGTAGCTGCGCCATAACTGGCTTCAATCCGACGGTGGGACACATTTCAGACTTCACAACACAAATGACGACGGCCTCCAAAAAATTCTGATAAATATAGCCTGTAGTGACAGCTGATAGCTAATAAATGACAGTTGTAATTATTGACAACCAATACAATTGTCATAGGTTCATCATTTCGTTGGCAGGAAACTATAAATTGGTGGAGGCTTTCATCACTTCTTTTGTAAAGTTCGTAGTGCAGGCGCACCTGGTCGCTGGACTCAAATCGTACTCGAGTATAACTCATCTTCTCATGATGCTAGTTACTTTTAAAGAGAAACATGAATTTTCAGATGTTCCTCCGGTTTTAGTCCATTTCGATATGAATCCCACAAATATATTATGGAGCTCAAGTAAAGGATCAAATGAGGTTAGAATAAATCTGCATTGAAATAGATTTTATACTGAAATACGGCTCTCGAACAATTTAACCCTCTACTCAATTGAACCTCCACAACGACTAAAGTGCACTATTTATACCGCTCATTGACTGCCAGTGAACCTTAGCAGTGGTAGCCAGTAAAGAACTGTCTTCCTACCACGGAGGTCTTTCAGGTCGTGCCCCACTCTTAAAGACACTTTTGTATGGTACAGGAAGCACATGCATGGGTCACAAAGAGGTCAAAAAACCCTAGCGCTACAATTTTTGGCATGCGTTTTTGATAGAAACCTACTCATTGGTAACTGATGGCCTTTGAAGTAAATAATACGGGTCCACTACTAGATGTTGACACAATTTTTCGACATCATGCAAGTGCCAGATACAAAGGCAAAACTTTGCCACAACGAGGAGTCGAACCATGAACCAATATTTCGTACCTTTTTCGGCGTTCGGAGTAGGGCTGAGAGAGAAAGAGTGATGGTAGTTCCATATTCCATGCGGGTGTCTCACATAATGCGAAAAACCATTTTGAAAAAGTGGGTGACCTGAAAGTCATTTCTGCTTAGTGTCGCAGGAGTGCGACGTGTATTTGATTATAACGGAATTGAGTACATCCATATAATGCGCGCTATAAGTATGTTTACAAATTATAGTACAAAAATGCTATTCAAAATGAAGCACGTAAACTCTACTAGGGCTTGCTTCGCTTGTGACAGCCAAGTAGCTACAAGACTGTTGGATAAGGTTTTCGCTGGCTCGAGCTACAGTAGCCGTCAGAAATGTTCGCCGAAACGATATCAACACGTTGGAAACCGCGCATGTTTTACGTTTTGCGGCCGCGTGGACTTCAGTGAAATTTTTAGGAATCTTATCAAGCAAATTGGAAGAAAAACCTACTGTATGATGCAGAAGAAATCTTATCGGATGAAATGGAAAAGAAAATGAAAGAAAAACTAATAATTTGTTTCCGAAATGCGAGCTGAAAGGTCCTATGCGGTTGACGGACTGCAGCCCACATATGGGCTGCATGGGCTCCAAGGTGTTAAGTGCATTATTTTATCTCGCTCGAGCAACGCCCTACAAAGATTGATATACTATGTTTCCTAGCAGGGTGAATATCGCTTGAGGATTCCTCAACGGCACGTCGAGGATTCTCT